CCCGGCGCTGGTGAGAGGACCGGTAGCAGACCCTGATCGGGGAGAGTCTGGGGTTTAATTTGGTATGCGATGCCCTAAGCGGGAGGAATTAGCTTTCTTCATTTGCAGGGAAGTATGAACCTGAGTAATTTGCAGCTGTGGAAGACAGCAAGTCTGAGCTTATTCTTTATTAACTGGAAAACTGCTTTGTCTGTGTTTCTGTGATGATGTACCTGGAGAATGTTGCATGTAAAATAAGGTGCTTGTTCATGTAGCCAAATAAAGCTATAGCCATTTTGTAGTTTAATTTAAATTGTGCCAAAAATGTTTTGTTATTGTTGGACACAGAGCTCCAATCTGACAATCTCAGTCTTCCAAAAATGATTTTATTCTTCCTGAATTTAAGTTTTTCTATTTTAAATGCTGCTTCTGTTTATTTTAAGAATTATTCAGGTGCATTCTGTCATTGCTTTTCCTGTAGCTTCACTAGTTTCCCATTTCTCATTCCATTTCTGGATGGGAAGAAGTCTGTGAATATCACTATGGAAGGAGAACACCCTTCTTTTCTTTCAATACGTGACAAAAAGTTAGGCTTACTGCTTTAAATAATGGTGGAATTAAATTTATTCCTGATTGAGTAGTCATTAAAAATTAAATCAGGATGAGTGATGCCCTTCTAAAAAGTGTTAATCTACATTAGAATTAGAAGTTCATGGTTGAATATGGAAGGCCTGTGCGGTTTGCAACTGTTATTCCTCTCAGAAAATGAGTATTTGGAGTGGAATTGTAGTGAGCATCAGGCAGCATCATTAATCTTTGCAGATGTAGTACCATTATTAGCATGCCTCTTACCTCTGGGGCACATAGTTATCTTCAATTTCCAGACACAAGTTTTATCTCATATCAAATTCTGGCTCTGCAGTGTAGCTGTTGAGCAGCACTCTGCTCTTTATTAGGTGCCAGCCTGCCTTAAATCTCTGGTAAATGTATGAGGGAGAGAGACTTCCTGGCTCTGAGCAAGGAGTGAGAGCGAATGCCCTGTTACTTGATATATTTTTTCCTTTGGTAGAACAATTTTAAGGATTCAGGAAGGCAGACAGTTTACTGACTTTATGATGTGTGTGTTCCATTTGCCTGAAGAATCATTATGAGGCTGTGGTGAAATTACTTTTAATGATGATTATATTTTCTTCTGCTTTATTCTCTGCAATCCAGACATCATTAATCTAGACTGTGAATTTTGTAGCTGGATAAGAGCTTGAAGGCACATGGATGTGGTCAATTCTGTTGTCCTAGAGCCAGACTGAAGAGAGCAAAGAAAGTTCTCTTGCTTCAGAATATCAGCCTTTTTTTTTTCCCTTTTCTTTTGGATCAGGTCTTGAAGCACGGGGTGAAGGTTTCTCTTCACAGTGCATGGACGGAAAGCCAATGCGCAGGTAAGATATGAAAATTATTGTCCTCTTATCCAAATATGATAAATCATGTGAGTTTTTCATAAATGCCTAGACCATAAAATGTTGTTTGGGTTTTTTTTTTAAAGGCCTGACTAGGAGAATGAGAATATAAGCCATTCCTCTTTAGTCCTTCCTTAAATGTATTTAGTTTTCAATATTTACTATACCAGATGTCTTTAAATGAATGTGCTGTTAGGAAGAGTATGGATGACCAGTTACCATAATTCTCCATCCCACTTTCCCCATTTACTGTTATATTTAAAATGCAGTATTTAATTACATAGGAATTCAAATTGTGTGACATAAACTGCCTGGGAATAAATTTAAACGTGATTGCCAAGTGGCCTTATTTTTCCCTTAACTAAAGGAGTTTAGTTCCTTTGATGGGATGAGGTCTTGGGTGAAAAGGAGATTTCCTTTTCTAATTATGGATACCAGCTGCCTCAGTTCTAAGGAGCTGAAGATGCAGATGAAGTTTAATTCAGGGAAGTTCTTGCTGTGGTTATGTCAGAAACATTATCTGTTATTTAGAGGAAAAAAATTGTCACGGTAAATCAGCATGATGACAGGTTGGCGAACAGGATTGTCTGCTAGTTCTGGTTGCTTTTCAATATTTGATGGTGATCTCATGGCAAAACTTAACAGCAGATACATTTGTGTATGTGATACAGGCTGTGTGGAAGCAAATTTTCCTAAAGTTCCACACCTGTAAATGAAGTAAAGAGAGCTCATGCAAATTGCTTAGTCTGTCTGCACTCTTCAGGATGTTGAAAGTAGGGAAACTTTATTACGGATAATTCTGAAAACAATAATGTAAGAGAAGGCAAGGAATTTTAACCATAGATTAATATGTAGAGCGTTTCTAGCTACAGCATTTGCAGAAACCATTAGCCCGGGTTCTGTGTAAGGAGGTGAGAAACAGTCATTTAAACCCTTGAAGAGTAACACTGTTGTTTAATTAAATGAACCCCTCAAGCGCAACGAAGACTATGCTGCTGCTTCAGTTAAGCTAATGAGTAAACCTTGGGACATGATACGGGCATCACTGGGGCTATGTATTGTTCGGTATTTTTGCCAAGATAAGAAATGTGGTTTAGACGATGAGGAGCTGTATGTGACTTTTACAGTGAGTTCCTTTTTCTCCAAGATGGATTAAGTAGCAGACGAGCTCTCTTCCATCTTAGTCTTCTACAATGGAGACTGTTTAAATCTTAACCAATGTAAAACCACAGCTTTTCAGGTTCTTGTGTTGTACTACATTTATCAAAATGTTTTTGCAAAATGACATAAAATTGGTGACTAGCTTGGTGGCTGTTCTTGTTTTCTCTTTATTTTTCATGTTCCTAATGGAAAATTGAGGTTCTAAGTTTACTTTTGTGTCTGCTGTTTTCTGCATGTCGCATGAGGCAGAGAATTAAAAGTGGTGACGTTCATATGTCTTTTGTGGGTTTGTGGCCTTGGACTTGCTATCGCGCAACTTCTGTCTGCCGCTCAGACTGGGTAGTTTTAGTGGTGGGCAACAGCACGAGGCTGAAGAAGTAGAGGTTTTCTATTGTGGTGCTGATCCTGGCACTTCAGGCTTTTTTTTGTTTTTAAATTTTATTTGGATAATGGATGCAGTCCAGACCTTTCCATACCTTTTGTTTTCCCTCCCTGTCTGGCAAGCCAGGGTAGAGCATGGATAACATGTTTGACATATTTACATAGTTTTACTTTGGAACTAACCTTTCAGCTGATCTCTGTGCCTGGATGTATTGTATCGCTGCAGTCTAGCCTGACAAGCACAGCTCTGTTGCGAGCTGTGGACTTCAGTTCTTGAATATGCTTGCGTCTTTTAAGGGCCTCTGTGTGGATTGTTAAAATTTCTGTTTATTACTCTACTGCATGTCTTAGCAGAAAATGATGAAAGGTTCCTTATAGGATTTCAGGCTCACAGATCTTCCTATGAAGTCCAGCTAAGCAAATGGCAGAGCACTTGCTTTTAACCTTTTACTCAGGGCTCTGCAGCCATTTAATACCACATGCCAAAGTCCTGTTAGGTGCTGCGAGAAGAGGGGTGAGACTTGGTCAGTACTGTATTAGTAAATATGGTGAGTTGGTATCAAATACGTATAGCATTCAGAGGATGGGAAGCACAATTTGAACAGAAAAGGCATTGCAGCTATTCCTGTCAAGATTATAGCAGAGAAAATGCGTTGATGTTCAAACAGGATCTATCTTGCATTAGAAATGAAGTGTTAGTTGGGGCAGGCTATTCTTTCTTGCTGTCGGGGAACAGCAAGAAAACATTGTTTTGCTGAAGGTAGAAGCAAGGCAAGAGGAGGTCTTTCCAGGGAAGGGCATAGTCCCACAGTACCTGAGCAAGGAGGGCAAAGCAGATCTGATTACCAGAGTCAGCCCAGAGTCTGGTGCTCATCAGACAAGTCTGTAGTGATGAGGAAGGGTTGAGGTCAAACCAGGAAGCCAACACAGCAGGTCAGTATCAGTGAGGTACGTGGCTGGGCACAGATGTGCCTTTATCATAGCTTAGGCCAGGCACGAGGGCTTGAGCAGCTCCCAAGTAAAGTGAGGAGGCCCTCCTGGCTCTTTCTAACCCAGCTTTTTCCTGGCAGCCTGATCCCAGGTCACAGCAGCGCTGTACCAGAGCTGGCTTGAGTACAGGCATCCAGACCCCGCTGAGGGGCAGAGGCTGCAGATCCTGATGGTGCACTTGGGGCCCTCACATGTGCTCTGGAAGTTAACCAATTGCTTGGACATAGCTCTTGACAAACTACAAAAGGCTTCAGAAGGTTTTGGAAGACTGCAGCAATGACCTCATCTTTCTGCATATGGACGTCCTCATTCTTGGTGAAACTGAGTTTTCTGGGTTTGGTCGGTGAAAATGAAAATAAAGAATGTAAATAGGGACATATACACCATACCCTTGCTGTTCTCCTTTTAAGTAATGTAAAATATTATTGCAGTCATGTTTACCTGCTTGTTTCCATAACTCAACTTCATTGAGCATGTATACCTAAACCTTGCTGTTTAGGTAAGAAAAGGAGTCAGTGGCATTTTTACTAATAATTAGACCTTTAACTACCTAATTCCTAGAGTATTGGTTGCCACAATTAAACATCTCCATTTACTTAGTTGGCACTGTTGTGGTGGTCACTTCTGTTGCTGAAAGTACCACTTTTGGCTGGGCCAAATCAAAGATCTTTGTTCTAGCAGTTCTGTGACGAGTATAGGAAATATTTTCTTTGTGTATGCATTAAATTCAAAGTGAGGCATTGATGGAAATCACTACCTGTTTGGTTTGTTTTCTTCACTTGCTACTAAAATCCATTACTATGGAAATCCCCTAGAGTAAGGCATGATTTTGGATTTCAGTCGATGTTTTCAGCCTGAGACAGCCACTGTTTCATAGGCCTTAGGTCAGCCTATTGTTTTCTGCTGAAGGGGATTAAAGTTTGCTTGTAAACTTATGGTAAAGCATATGTTATCTTATGCAGGCTACTCTGACTTGAAAGTTAAGGAGCTCTATGACAGCATCAGAGAGTATTTTTCTTAGATAGAAAATTATTAGCTATTTTTTTGAACTTTGGAAGAAGCTGCTATAAGCTCTAAGGATGGATGTCTCATAGATGCCTATGTTAATGAATAAAGTTTTGGGAACTGGCATAGCTGAATAAAATGGAGGCAGAGCAGCCTATTTATTTAGCTGATTTAGTGTTGCAGAATGCCTGTGTTCCCCTTTGTACTTTTCAGCAGTGTGCTACAAAAACTGATCCTTTGTCAGCCCTTTCTTAATCCCATTGTATTTGCTGATTTCCCCAGCCCTGCATTTTGATGGAAGCTAATCCTAGAATATCTGCATAGCTGAGTGTGGATCTTTTGTCCTTGCATACACGTTTCCTCCCTGATCCTCAACCCTTCTTAATCACCCTGAGTGTTCAGGAGCAGCTCTTCGCTTTGCCTGTGTCGGGGGGAGGCAGCTAGCCTGCCATGTGAGAATCAAGTGCTGCCTTCTGTGTTTCACACCTCTAAGCTACTGAGTCATCATTTAATTCTCTATGCATATATATGCATAATGCACACATACTGCAGTTAAATTATTATCCTTGTGGAGACACATGCCATCAGACAGTGTCCTTTGAATTCACACTTCTGTGCCTGTGTATAGCGGCAACCCACAGTGCTTAACATCAAGCATCTGGTTTGATCCAGTATGGAAATTCCCAAGCCCATTGATCACTAGCTTCAGCATTACCCAGAGATAAGTTATGGATGAATGAGGAGTGCTAATTTGATTATTACTCTTCTTTCCATCCACTCAATTTTGTTTAATCATTAACCAGCACTTTCTGTCCTGGAGGAAGGAGGCTGGATACAATGCAGGCACTGGGATAAACACTGATGGGAACAATGCAGTAATGCCTCCAGTTCTTACTAACCCTCCTCCTTTTCAGTTAGTTAATTTAAAGATCTGTTCAGCAAAGTCTGGTTTGGGCAGAAAAATGCTGTTCTGTCCTGGCTAGGAAGTACTAGGACTACTGCCTAAATCTGGACAACTAATCACATGGGCTCAACCCCATGGCTCTGTGTCAGCAAAGAGTCTTGGGTGGTGGAGTTGACAAGGTACATTGTATTCCTTGTGGCAGCATAGCCTTAGTCTAATCTTTTTGTAGTTAGAATCTTTGCCAGTCCAAAAAGCTCTTTGAGATCTCCTTTAGGGCTGTTTTTATGAGAGTTGTCTTTGAGGAAAGCCTACAGGCATAACAAAGGTGTTCTGCTTTCCAAAAGGAGGTCCTGTTGTGGACATAGACCATCTCTTCTGGTCTGTAGTTATGTGAAATGGGTTTTTATTTGAAGAATGCTTGTTCTGTGCTTAGATGCTTTGACTGACAGCCTGGTCAAGACAAACTGTCCAAAATTATTACAGTAGCATGTGTCTTAATAGGGCTCTTATTTTTTCTTTTTTCTACCAGGGATTGGTTTGGCATAACTTGAATCCCCTAATGCACGATAAAATCCATTTGGCTTGCTTAGCAAGAGCTGGACTCTACAGGGGGATTTTTGTCACCCTTTCTCCATCTCTTGGTAGAGGAATTAAATTACTTACTCTCTGGCCTCAGCTGCTAAAGATTATGGAAGTAAGCCAATTAGATAAATTAATCTTTAGCCAAGGTTTCTTGAGGTTTTTATAGGGGTACCATTAAACTTGGTTTGTGTACGCTGCTACAAGGAGAGCTTAGCTGCACTTGTTCGTAAGGAACTTGGCAGAGCTTTGAAAATGGTTGTCAAACCTCACAAGGTGAATTTGGGTTGTGAGGGACAAGAGTGGGTGGAGGAGAGTGAGATGCAGTATAACAGCAGAAGGATTTGTCAGAGGTGTCAGAAGAGGAGAACGGTGATACATATAAAAAAGATGGAGTAGGGATAAAAAATGGAAGGCATTTAAGGTGCAGAGGCTGAACAGGAGCAAGCAGCAAAACGCAGAGGGGAGACCCAGCTGGATCTGTGTAACTAAGATATGAAGAAGAGGTAATGGTCTGAAACATCTGAATATGATGATCAAGGAGAGGGTGTGGGGGGGAATGGGAAAACAAGCTAAGATGCAAGTGGATAATTTGAACTGCTGCAAAAAGACTGGTTTCCCTGTGGTTAGAAAGTGCATTTGACATAATAATGAGAGAGAGAAGATGAGAGTTGGTTTTTTTTAATTCTTTCCTTCAAGCATGCTGCAAAATACATTGAGCAATGGCAAAGTGAAGTTAGATTTCTTAGTGACAGCTCACATGCCAGTGTACCAGTGAAGCTGGTAAATGATAAGATATATTGGCTCTTTCAGAGTATCTCCAAGCAGCCAGTGCACTCACTGGGTAATTCATAACCATCAGTATTCTGATATTTTGCTCAATATGCTTTAATTTCTTTAAGTGATGGTTCCCCTTCGAAGTGTGAAGAGGCAATAGTTTTCTATATCTTCTTTATTTTTGTAGTAATTGATATGTCACTAGTGCTGATGCATCTTTTTAATAACTGTTCATATGATAGGTGGCAGAAATTCAGATATGCTCCAAACATGCCAAATGGCATCTGTTATGTGTGTGGTGCCTTTAGTGTGCACTGATCTGCTTATTTAGTCTGCTGAAAATAGAGTTGGGTTTAATTCTTGTTTAGCACTGATTTCAGTCATAATGTGGTAGTGAAGCCTGGGGTGTAGGCAGTTGTCTTTGCAAAGTGAGGTATGAGATGGGTCATCTTGGTTCATCCCTGCAGAACGGTAGAAGGGCTCAGGGCAGTGCTGTGTTTCTGTTCTCTCGAGTTAGTAGCGTACATGGTGCGAAGCGTGATCTGTCAGCATTGTGTTCAGTTTTGGGCCTTTCACTACAAGAAGGATATCTAGTTGCTGGAGTGTGCCCAGAGAAGGGCAACGCAGCTAGTGAAGGGTCTGGAGCACAAGCCTGATGAGGAGTGGCTGAGGGAACTGGGGGTGTTCAGTCTGGAGAAGAGGAGGCTCAGGGGAAACCCTATTGCTCTCTACAACTACCTGAAAGGGGGTTGTGGTGTGGTGGGTGTTGGTCTCTTCTTCCAAGTAACTAGTGATAGAATGAGAGGAAATGGCCTCAAGTTGCACCAGGGGAGGTTTGGACAGGATATTAGGAAAAATTTCTTTATGGAGAGAGTAGTCAAGCATTGGAACAGGCTGCCCAGGGAGGTGGTAGAGTCACCGTCACTGGAAGTATTCAAAAAACATGTGGACATGGCACTTTGGGACATGGTTTAGTGGGTGTGGTGGTGTTGGGTTGATGGTTGGGCTTGATGGTCTTAGAGATGTTTTCCAACCTTAATGATTCTGTGATTGTCATGCTGCTGTGCAGAGGGGTATTGCACTTAAGCCATGTCAGAGCTGACACCTGCTCAGGGATGTGAGGGATAAAGGAAAGGTACCTGAACTTCTGTAAAGAAGGACATCAGATAGCTAGAAGGCTGCATGTGGAGCTGCGAAGATTGTATGTTCTTCCTACTCTGTGCCAGAAACTTGGTTTATAAGTTCTTAAGAGGTTCCTCATCTCTAAAGTTACAATCTTGACTTTTTTTTCTTCCTTTTTGGGTAGGCCGATAGTTGTGGATACTGTGATTGTTTTGACTTTTTCGTTATTGGTCTGATAATCCAGATTGCCCTCTGCAGTTCTTAGTCTGCCATTCTTGGGAAAGATTAACTTTCTTTTGAAACGTGTCAGGGAAGGTAGATTGAGTCAGAAGCCTCCATAATTCAAAAGCAACTGAAGAGATGATGATTAAATGGATATTCTGTGAACCTGAAAGATACTTGTGTTAGGCTGCAGGCCATTTTAAGTTACTGAAATCTATGTGACAGTTTAGTATGTTCAGGTATCATAGTGACGAGTGACCCTACCAAAAATGCGGGTAGAAGAACGGAGAAGTTTGGTTAAATCGTGCAGCTGGAATTCCTTGCAGTAGAAATCCATCCCCAGCCCTGTCAAAGAAAACTCAAGTGACAACGGGCAAGTTGGCTAATCTCTGCTTTGAGTCACTCTCTATGAAATGGGGCTAGTATTCTTGTACCACGCAAGGCTATTATGAGGTTCAGGTAATAAACATGTATGTGCAGTTGGATATTACAGCGGTGTGTCATAGAAGGCATATAAAAATAGATATAAATATAAGCCTGTTGCAAGTTGGCATTTGTTTACTTCTAGGTACATTTTGGTTTGAGATGGATTCCTCTTTCACGTGATCACATGCTTGTTTCCATGTTCCGGCATGGAGCTACGGGCACTGGTGGTTTTGTGCTTGTAATCGGTGTGAGCCCTAGAGCTTTGGCTGACAGGTGGTGATAGGCTAGTTGATGATGGTCCTGTCTTATGGCTTCCTCCGCTGCAGGTGTACCAGTACTCGACCAGGAGAGACCGGAATGGATGTGACTAGCCGTTGCACACTCGGAGATCCTAACAAACTGCCAGAAGGGGTGCCGCAGCCTGCTCGCATGCCCTACATCTCTGACAAGCACCCTCGACAAACTTTGGAAGTCATCAATCTTCTCCGGAAGCACCGGGAGTTGTGCGATGTGGTGCTAGTAGTGGGTGCGAAGAAGATCTACGCCCACAGGGTGATTCTGTCAGCCTGTAGCCCCTACTTCCGAGCCATGTTCACCGGGGAGCTGGCAGAGAGTCGGCAGACAGAGGTAGTGATCAGAGACATCGATGAAAGAGCCATGGAACTGCTGATTGACTTTGCGTACACCTCTCAGATCACTGTGGAAGAGGGAAATGTCCAGACCTTGTTGCCAGCTGCTTGCCTTCTCCAGCTGGCTGAGATCCAGGAGGCCTGCTGCGAGTTCCTTAAGAGACAGTTGGACCCGTCCAATTGCCTGGGCATCCGAGCTTTTGCTGACACTCACTCATGCCGTGAATTGCTGAGGATTGCTGACAAGTTCACACAGCACAACTTCCAGGAGGTAAGAAGCTAGTATGCTGGAATCATGGTGTAAAACATGTGAAGGTGTCCTGTGAGAGCCCGGGCACCTCTCATTCTGTGCTTCTTTCCAAATCCTGCCTTTACATCTGCTGTGTGCCCAAATAGCAATGGGTGCCAGCTGTTAGTTGGGGAAGGGGGAGGGAAGAGGTACTTGCAGGACTGCATTGTATGGGTGGTTTGTATATGATCCGCAGCATTTCTTCTCTTAAGAGTTGTGTGATGAGTGCTATGTGGAAGGCAAGGTCACAGGCAGAGTTGGAATTTGGTATTGTATCTGACATGACTGCATGATGGTGTGACATTCCACTCCCCTTTCAGAAACGTTCTGAATTCTCCTGTATTGGAGGGGAGACGGGTGTTAACATAAGGACAATACATCAATAGAACCCCAAAAAATTGGTGTTGAGTTTAGGGATTGGAAATGTAGGTGTTATCGGGGGAGCATACAGCTGCTTCAGTGGAGTCTTCAATGCCCTTGCTGTAGCAGAACTAGGGTTTTGCATCAGTTATTCAGCAGAAGTTGTTTGAAAGTAATTCAAATGTGTAATTTTGTAGCTGACCTTTATAAACACAAGTCTCTTTTCCTTTGTTAATTCTACCTAGATGATTTTTGAGGAAAAACATTTGCGAGCAACTGGTTCAGGGAAGGGTCAGCATAATAATTAAGGATTCTGTGAGCAATAGTCTGAGAAGAGTGCGTCTTTACTTAACTGTTACACCCAGATGCAGAAAGGAGCCCAGCACTTTTAAGTGATGTCTTTCCTGAGCCCTGGTTGGAAGGGTAAGAATTTGTGTACGTTCTGGAAGCAGCTCCTCTCTAGGAGTGTGCTCAGTATGAAGGTCTGTTCCCCTACTAGAGAGATTCGTCTCTTGCCTTTTCCAGAAACTGCACTCTTCCATCCCTTGGAACAGGTAGCCTGCTATGGAGAAATCTCCTCTTTCCACCTGCTTCACAGGCAGATCCTTTACAAAGGGAGTAACTCCGGTATTGACTCCTGATGCTAATTTAGTTTCCCCAGAGAAGTGGCAGTCTGTATGCGCTGTGGTTGATTGAAGCTTGCTGACTTTTTTTTTTGCTGCAGAAAATAGATTGGGATAGTACTAATTTCAGTCAGGTAGTACTACTCCTTTTCCAGGTAGAAAATTTATGAGCAGAAGCAAACACAATTGAACTTGACTGTTGGACACATTGAAGATATACTTGAAATACTTGGTATTTAACTGTAGACACATGACATCAGTTTACGCTAAAAGTTGCAATTAAATACGTCTTTCCTAACCATGAAAACTAGAAAATAGAATTTACTGTTTAAGATGAGAGCTTGTTTTGTGTAGACCTTGGTGATTTCCCAAAAGCCCTACATTTTAGCTGGCCATTTCATGTGCTCTGTGCTTGTTCTGCATTTCTTTTTTTTTTTTCTGTGAGCAGGATGGTAACCAGATGGTCGTTTATTTTCAGTGTTTGGTTGTTTTAATGGTTAGATCTGAGCTCTTCTCGTTATTACATTAGTAGGGCATGCTTACAAGCCTCTAAATAACTTTTTAACAGCATGACAATTTTGGTTTTAAATGTTTCAGCATTAATACATGTAGCTGGCTGTTATGAGCTGCCTGCTATGGGGTTCTGTTCTTTTGCAGTTCCTTGAAGACAGCTTCCTGTCTTCCTTATCCCTGTTAAAGCACACAAAGGCAAAACTTTTGGACTCGAGAAAACACTCTCCTCCTCAAAGATGATGCAAACTATAATTGATTTAACTGAATCATGGCCTCTGGAAAACAGTCGCTTAGATTAGAGCACTGTTTCTTTGGCCTGGGCAGGTTTTGGTGTCCCTCTCAGTGCCTCGGGAGTTTTTCAGCTCTTCATCCTTAATGATCAGTTCTTTTGCTTCCACTGTTTCTCTGCAGGCAGTCTTGACAGTGCTACTTGTTGGGATTGTATTCTGTTCTGCCATTATTTTCCATCTGGAGAGTGGATTGGTAATCCCTGATGGAAGCTAGTGACTTGGCTACCTAATCATCCTCCACTGTGGAGGTTGAGAAGTGATAGAAAATGTGCCCTCCTCTGCAGAGGCTATATGGCCATCGTTCCTCGAGCTGGCAGAAAGACATGAGAGATGAGAATTTCGTGAATGGCAATATAAAATACTAAGCACTAGGTATCAGGCCAACCCATGCAGTTATGTTGAATGCAGTCCGAATTGCTTCATGTCCTCTGCTGTGCTAACCTCTAGTTCTATTAATTTTTATGTGTATTGCTGCATTACATCATTAACTTCTTGATAAAATGTTTTTCCATTCCCCTCAATTTAATTTGTTGCCTAAAACCCCTAGTGAATCTTGTGCATGTAATGTGAAATGGTTCTGTTAACAACTCTGCTGTACAAGAACAGCCTCTGTGGTTTTTTTGTTTAGTCTCAACATCTGTATAAAGGGAAAAAAATATACTTAAGGATGAACAACTTGTACTTTGTATCAACAGACAAAAATTGCACTCCATATTGTATACTTTGACATTTAGTCTATCTGTTTGTAAATGCAGTTAATCGACATGAATACTGTAGAGGAAATGAAGCCCATCCAATTCCTGTTTAGTAAGCAAGTCAGTCAAATAAACCATTAATGTTAGTCAGATAATTATTAGTGTCCTGATAATTAAGCCAAAATAAGCCAAAGCATTTTAAATAATTATTTGTTTTACTATGTCAGCTAACAAGTTGCATAGTAGTAATAACTTGGTTTGCCATTGATGCAACTGAGTTTTCTGAGGGTGGAAGGGGGAGTCTGGATGACCATCCTTAACTCAGAAAAATTTCCAGAGCCTCTTGTTTTCAGAGTCTGAGGCTGCACTTACAAACTGTCAGGGTAAAGTTTAGACATAAACTAGTCTATGTAGAACGGAGGGAGAATGTGGAAAAACGCTGATAAATGACCAGCCCAGTTCTTACTCTAAGGCTGACAAAGTGTGTGGGCTAACCTTGCTGTGACTCCTACTGCACCTGAAAGCCCATGGGATCCTAGACCAAAGTGTGGTAACTGATCTCGCTGTCTGTTGTGTTCCTTTTAAATGTATTTGCTGTTGTCAGTACTTGGCAAATCTTGTATGTTCATTCAGTGCTCTTATTTCTTTAGGTAATTAAATGGACTGCACAGCTCCCTGCTGTTGAGATGATCGTGTCAATGTATTTTTCTTTCATTTATGCTGCAAATCATAAAATAAGACCCGGAATTCTACTTGTGGTCGCAAATGATAAGGACAAGCTGATATTCAGTTATTTTCTGTCACGGAACCTCTCAGATTACAGGCTACAGTCTGGGAGTGCTTGTAGGGAAGCCAGGCTGGCAGTTATCAATCAAACCATTTCTGCAGTTCTCTTTTGATTCTTCCATCTTTCCCATCTACCTGATATCAGTGCAGAAGACGTGGTTGCGCATGAGCTCTGTAACCTCTCAAGGCAGGCGCAGGCTGACTCACATGTGCTCCGTGGTGTGTTGTGCGAGCAGTCCTCCAGTGGCAGCTAAAGCCTCCTGAGAAACGCGGTCGCTATCTTGGGTAGTGAAGGAATGAGCATGTTTGCAGCTTGTCAGTGGCTTGAATTTCACAAGAGATGACCTTAGGGTCTTAGGAGGCTCTGATTCTCTCTTAAGTGCATCTAGACTTGTGCAAACTCTACATATATATTTAGAGCAAATGAAGGAGGCAGGATCAAATGAGTCCATCACCCTCTCCTGAAATATTTTGTGTTCTGCCACAAACTGACACTCAGGAAGACTTTCCGTGTTCTCTACAATGCCTCTGGTAACTTGTTTCTGAGACTTATTTTTGTGCTCTGTTTTGGATTTGTTATGAATAGAGCCTCTCTATTTTGATACCACTTTTCAGTCCTGTAATTATCACCTATGCAATATTCTTATTTCTGCTTTATATATTAGCCCTGGCAAACCAGGAGACTGATTTTAAAGAAGGGCTTTGTTTTTCCTAAATTTTGAAACCTGATCAGTGTGTTCTGTGATTTAACCCTTTAAAAATATTCTACCAAAAAATCCCTTCATGTAAAATTCCCTTTCACTTGCATCTCCATCTAAAGGTGTCTGTGTTGCTAGGGACTGCATTCTGCTCTGTGCAGCAAACCCTTCACATGTGTTGATGTCAAAACAGTGATGGGTATTTGGCGCTTTAACGGATCAGTCCATTAAACTAATTCAAGTGGACTGTATTCCACTTTAGAGTTGCACTCAGTGCTGGAGTGGTGAATGGCTGTGGTGCTTTGGCCACTGTCCTTACTTTCTTTTTTTCCTTTTAACCAGGTAATGGAGAGTGAGGAGTTCATGCTGCTTCCTGCCAATCAGCTCATAGACATTATATCCAGTGATGAGTTAAATGTTCGCAGTGAAGAGCAGGTGTTCAATGCGGTGATGGCCTGGGTGAAATACAGCATTCAGGAAAGAAGACCCCAGCTGCCACAGGTAATCTCAAGTGCAGTAGCATTTGAGACCGCTTTGTCCAGGGGAAGAGTAATGAGGGTTGTTATGGTGGTGCCACAGCAGTGTCACAGTTCTGAATGCATGCGAAGCCACAGTAATTCTCGCTGAGTTCCACCTGTGTGAGGTGGCTTGCACTTTCCCTTCATCTAGGCTGGAAGGTACAGTGGCTAGAGCCTTCAATAGGGGCTTTGTTGAGTTGTTTCCAGGTAGGACTTGCCAAACTAGGTCATTCCAGTAGTCTGTCCAGACAAACCTGCCTGCATTGCTTTGAGTGTTGTATAAAAAACATAGTGTATAAGAAAAAGCTTGCCTTCATTTGAGCTGCATCTTTAAGCTCTGCTGTTTGATTTATGCTTCAGCCCTCATGATCTTATACTGGAGCTTGTCAGAATGGTTTTGTTGAAATATGATGCTTCATCTAAGCCAAGCCATTTCACAGAGAAGCACCCATTCTGACAGAGCTGTCAGACGGAAAGCCTCTGAAGTCTCAGGCTTTCTGATCAAAAGAGGTGAGAGTCTTTCTGCCTCAGTGTTTCTGCTTTGGAAGTAGATATTAAATGCAACTTTATTTAGTGGAAAGCTTTTGAAAATTATTTTTAAATAAACAAACCAAACCAGAAAAACCTGCTGTTCTCAAGGCAGTTCTTAATGCTGTTATAACTGTGTGCCTTTTTAGGCCTCTCTCTCTATGCCCGCTTGCACCTCTGAATTCTAAACCACTGTGAAAGGCATGTTATTTGTTATTGCTCATTTACTGCACAATACTAGTCACATTTAAGAGAGCTAAATGGTCGATAAAACTTCTAATTAATGTAGTGTTTCAGGCAAATGTAGTAACATCTGTAATTTTGTAAAGGTTTTCAATTGTGACCTTGTTTTCACCTGTTAATAGATCTGGCGGATTATCCCCTTTCGAAGATGGATTTTCTGCTGGGTATCTAAATTGGTATATTGAAAAGGCAAAGGTGCTGTAAGATGAGCTGTATTTAACTAAAATGCCAGGGTCTGGATGTGTAAATGACTGTGCATGTTTGCTGAGGGATTATTAACTCTTTATCAAAATTTGTTAGCCACTCTTGTTTTGCATTTGGCTTCTTGCATCTCTTTGGGTATATATGGTTTACCATATATGTTCTGTTTTGTGTTTTAGGTTCTGCAGCATGTCCGTCTACCGCTGCTGAGTCCCAAGTTTCTTGTGGGTACAGTGGGCTCTGATCCACTTATTAAGAGTGATGAGGAATGCAGGTAA